AGAAGAAATTGAAAAGGTAATACAACAACTTCCAACTAAAAAAAAAGCCCTGGACCAGAAGGTTTTACAAGTGAATTTTATCAAACATTCAGAGAACTGTCAGCAATTCTACATAAACTATTTCAGGAAATAGAGAAAGATGGAATTCTCCCAGATTCGTTCTATGAAGAAAACATATTCTTGATACCAAAGCCAGGAAAGGACACCACCAAAATAGAAAACTATTGGTCAATATCTCTCATGAACATAGATGGAAAAATCCTGAATAAAATACTGGCCAATAGAATTCAACAATACATCAAAGAAATAATTCACCATGACCAAGTGGGATTCATAACAGGTATGGAAGGGTGGTTCAACATAAGGAAAACTATTAATGTAAATCATCACATTAACAAAGCAAAGCACAAGAACCACATGATCGTATCAATTGATGCAGAAAAAGCCTTTGACAAAATCCAACACCCTTGCCTGATTAAAACACTCAACAAAATAGGATTAGAGGGGAATTTCTTCAACATAGTAAGCAAACCTGAGAACCAACATTGTTCTTAATGGAGAGAGGTTAAGAATAGGGACTAGGCAAAGATGCACACTATCACCTGAGAACCAACATTGTTCACAGTGGAGAGAAGTTAAAGGCATTCCCTTTAAAAACAGGAGCTAGGCTAGCAAGGATGCCCACTATCACCTCTCTTACTCAATATTGTATTGGAAGTCTTAGCGATAGCAATAAGACAAGAAAAGGAAATAAGAGGTATCCTAATTGGCAAAGAAGAAGTAAAATTATCTCTTTATGCAGATGACATGATAGTATACTTAGAAAACCCTAAAGACTCGGCAAGAAAACTATTGGACATAGTTAACCAATTAAGCCAAGTAGCAGGATACAAGATCAACGTGCAAAAATCAGTTGAATTTCTCTACAGTGACAAAGAGAATACAGAGCCAGAGCTAAGAAAAACAATACCCTCCACAAAATCTAATCATAACATTAAATACTTGGGAGTAAATATGACTAGAAGCACAAAGGGTCTATTTAAAGAAAATTACAAAATATTACTACAAGAAACAAAAAGAGACCTGGAGAAGTGGAATAATAGCCCTTGATCATGAATAGGAAGACTCAATATTGTGAAAATGGCAATAATACCAAACGCAATTCACACGTTCAATGTAATCCCATTACAAATACCAATCCCATTTTCAAGGAGATGGAAAAGGTAATCTCCAGTTTCATTTGGAATGGAAAGAAGCCCCAAATAAGCAAAGCACTCCTTAAAAATAGGGAAAAAGGTAGGAAGCATCTCACTCCCTGACTTCAAATCCTACTACACTGCTGTGGTGGTTAAGATAGCATGGTACTGGTACAATGACAGACACATAGATCAATGGAATAGAATTGAGAACCCGGAATTCAGCCGATCTACCTATGGTCAACTGATTTTTGTCAAGGAGATAAAATCACTTAAGTGGGGAAACGACAGCCTTTTTAACAAATGGTGTTGACAAAATTGGAAAAATATCTGCAGAATTCTCAAGGAATATCTGACTCAATATACAAAAACCAACTCAAGGTGGATCATGGACCTAGAACTAAAACCAAAGACTATAAACTTCATTCAAGAAAAGCTTGGAAGAACTCTAGTAGTCATAATCCACAACATAAACAGTCTTTCAAGTGTCCTGAAAAATCTACAACCAGGAAAAAATAAATAGATGAATGGGACCTTCTAAGAATCAAATCTCTATGCACATCAAAAACTTCTCCAACAGGGTAAAAAAGGAAGCCACAGACTGGGAAAAAGTATTTGGTAATGACATGTCAGATAAGGGACTTATAGCTAAAATTTATAAAACACTTGAGCATCACAGCAAGATAAAGGTAAATAATCCGATTTAAAAATGGACATAGGATATGAGCAGACACTTCACCAAAGAAGGCATTCAGATGGCTAACAAGCACATGAAGAAATGTTCAAAATCCCTAGCTCTAAGAGAGATGCAAATCAAAACAACTATGAGATATCATATCACCCCAGTCAGAAGAGAAAAATTTAACAGAACAGCAAGCAACAAATGCTGGCGAGGTTGTGGAGAAACTGGAACTCTTATTCACTGTTGGTGGAAGTGTAAAATGGTGCAACCACTGTGAAAAGCGGTGTGGCGCTTTCTCAAAAAGTTGCAAATAGAGATACCATTTGACCCAGCAATTCCACTACTGGGAATATACCCTAAGGAGACCATAACTGACATCCAAGCAGATATATGCACACCCATGTTTATCGCGGCTTTATGCACAATAGCAAGGAGTTGTTAACAACCCAGGTGCCCATCAACAAACGAACGGATAGAGAAGCTGTGGCATATTCACACAATGGAATACTATGCTACATTGAAAAACAAGGAACTCATGCAATATTATTCAAAATGGGTGACCCTGGAGGACATTATGCTGAGTGAAACATCTCAGTCACAAAAGGACAGGTACTGCATGGTGCCACTGTTTTAGAATGGAACTGACGTCAGGATTGGGTTAAGACTAAGAAAAACTGTATAAATTATATATACTGCATTGAAACAAATGAGGGACAGAACACTTTAAAAGTGATATATGATCGGGTATTACGGTTATCACAAGAGTCCAGAATCAAGGTGTACTCGGGGTGGTGGGGACGAGGGGGGAGATTGTATGCCAATGAAAGAATTTTTCTTTTACTTTTCAAAGATAGGAGCTAACTTGGGGAGGGGAGTGGGCAGGGTAAAAGTGCAACAATGAATGAATGGAAATCCAAAACCTCTCTAAATGTTGATTAAAATTAGTAAAATAAAATTTAAAATGAAAAAAAAAACCCAAAACAAAAATGTATGTCCGGCAGTAACAAATTCCAAGATGTGCGCCATGAGTAACTTTGGCTTTAATGGTTAAAGTAATGCATTAATCTGGCTGGACCATGATTGTCAGTGGTTTGGTAGTTATGGAGTGAAGAAAATTTGGCAATTATGTATTGTGACACTTATATAATGATGTATTCAATCTCTAGTTTTGATGATGATAATTTTTTAACAATGGCCTCTCTTTTGGAATTGAACAATGTTCCTAAGTGAGGAATGACTATATATACCTTTACTTTTATATTTAAGAAAAATATGTAAGACAAAACCAATTTATTGTGGTAAGAACTAGTATTTCCTTAGGGAGCAAATAACTGTATGGGAACAAGAAGTAATCAACTGTAAGGGAGCAAGAAAGAGGCTCTTAGGATGCAAAAAGTATTCTCTTTCATATGATAGTGCTGGTTACATATATTAAAATTCATTGTGCTAATTACTCATTATTTTTTGCACTTTTTGCAGATGCATTAAAATATACTAAAAAGCTTAAAAAACAAAATTAAGTAAAACAAAACAAATAATCACATATGCACAAAACTCATTTTTCAGCAATTTGATTTCTGTAAGTTGGTTCAAGGAGTTTCTGTTATGAGCCTTTTTCATACTTTTATTGGACAATCATTTTTCTTCTTTGAGCACTGGCTTTTCAAATATTTACCCTTTTGCTTATGAATTTTATATTATTTTTTCATTGCTTTCTGGGTATTTATTGTATTCAGTAGAGATTCTGCTAAAGTTCTATTATTCTTTGTTAACAATAAATCAATTAATTTTGAGTGCTACAAAAATACAAAAAATAAATTTTGTGTCCAATTTCTGGGCTTCCTGATTTCTTATCCACGTTTAAAATCAAAATACGAACTAGACAATCAAGAAGAAAAACTGCATACAAAAGGGTCTGATGAAGAAAGACTATAAATGTTTGTGAACCAAATGTTTTTTCTAAACAGTACATGTTTATTTAAACTAAATTTGCTATCATTTCCCTATCACTAGATGGTTTTACCTTAGGATTGACTAGAATTTAAGATACTACTTCACTTACACTTATTGTTCTTTTATGTCTACTAAATTCTAATCATAAGTCTTTAAATGCATATTATCTTAAAAGAAATCTAGTTTGGTGTCTGAAGGTATATTGCACAGATGAGGGAAGATTGATGAAGTGATAAGAAGGTATTATACTTCAGTGACAGTTGAGACAAAAGACACATAAATCAAGAGCTTGCTATATAAGTAAGGAATCTAATTGAGATACAGACAAGAAGGTGGCATGAGATAAGATACACGTTAATTCTTTCTCAACTCTTTTTGGAAGGGGGAATGAGAGTCATGTACAGGGGAATTAATCAGTTTTGTTCCTTGGCCCATTACTGATAAGTCACAAAAGCCATATCCCTATCAATATTTTATTCAGTTCTGTAATGGAAGTATTCTTTGCACAGTCCACCACCAGCAGTTCTGGAAATTACACTAAGAACCACTGATGGAGCAGGGAAAGGCAGTTTGAAAGTTCATATAAAAACCACTACAGTTTCCTTTTTTATATCTATTAAAGTTAAGATTGGAATACTAGGAAAAGAGTACATGGCTTGTATTTAAACTCTTTCTCTGAGAAAGGGGAAATTTACCAATCTAGTCAAATTTCTTGGCATTAACTAATTGGACGATTTTCTGGGAGAGAGAGAGAGAGAGAGAGAGAGAGAGAGAGAGAGAGAGAGAAACTGACATGACGTGAGGCCTTCCTGTCCTTTGGGTAATAATGAGTCACTGTGGTGGCCTTGGGGCAAGAAACTGTGCTGTAATCCTGAAGGCCCGGGTTTCGAGGCCACCAGCTGCTCTGCGGGAGAATGATGGATAATCTCTTCCCATGTGATTAACTGTCTCTGAAAACCTGTTATGAAAACCTGTTAGAAGGCCAGCTATGGGTTGGTTCCAACTCTACTGTACAGAACAACAACAACAACACTGACTAAATATTTTACCACAGGAGTGGCCTTTACAACAGCTAACACAGTTCTGCACAAGGTGAGGCACATACTATTTATTTATTTATTTCCTATGGCAATAAGTACATGCAATTAGCCAACAGCCTCTTTCCCAAGCTACGCTGCTTGCATTGGGTCTACAATTTTCCCTAGAAAAAGAATACTTCTGGTTGTTTTTTCCAAAATCAGCAGAATGAAGGGCCTATTAAATTGGATGATATGGTGAAGGTGAGTCATCTCGGACTGGTCCAGGGATCTTTCTTCAGGGACAGGTACACCTTCGGTTCCCTCTTCACCAATGTTCAGCACTGCCTTATGAGCAGCCTACAGGAAAAAACAAACACTACTGGTCCCTTGAACAAACAGGAACAATCTTTGGGAAGGTTTAGAGACATAAAAGGAAAAGAAGAAAGACATTGACCCCTGTGCTACTCTCTCTCTCTCTCATGTTGGATTATGTAGGTTTTATTGAATTTGTTCATTTTCCCACATTGAAGAACAGGTGACTTTTAGGGCAAAAACTATTTTCCTTATTTTTAAAAAAGTATCCATGTAAGTAGCATGTTTCCCCATGTTTCAGGATCAATTGCCAGGAAAACATTTCTTTTATATGGCCCTCCGCCTCTGAGTAACCTCTCCAACTTCCCTCACCTTGTAGAACCATATCTCACCAGAGCTACTTTTGACCATTAAATTTTTCTATAAAGTGTCACTTCAGGACATAAATGTTAAGAATGAAGAAATTGTGCTACAATGACTTGTTTGGGGTGACAAGAATGGCTTTCAATGAATCTATCTTGATGACAGTCACTGACTCTCTTGGTTTTGGACTCTTCGTCAGTAAAAAGAGAGAGTTGAATTAATTGTTTATCAATGTCCTATGTAGATCAAGACATTCAGAGATGGTAATCTACCAACTTACTTTGGAAAGTTTCAGGCCACTGTCTTCTGTAAGCCCAGGAAAATCTGCATGATCAGTAAAGGCATCTTGGATGCCCATCTTCATAAGGGTGACTCCGAGGTCATATGTGCCAGAAATGGAAACTTTTGGAACAAATAAATCGACCCATCTATGGGAGAGAAAAAGATGAAATGTATAGCTATCATCATACAAAGCTCATGAAATCCTTCATTTCTCTTTCACTATAGTATTACTTTGGACTTTCGTCCCCCACTAAGTATGGAGTATTGCCTTCTAGGTCAACATATGGAACGAAATCACAGAAGTCACTCTTAAAGTTCTGGTTAAATTCTTTTTTGGGCTAGAGCCTTGTGAGATAAGTCTTCCTTATCATCAAAAGAGTGTTGGGCAAAATTGAGCAGCCAATGGTATCAATGAATAGCACCTAAAGATCTTAATAATGTTCTGTGTTACGCACTCAACTCAGAATTACTTTCCACTAACTCTATTTTTTATGTTTTATCTGCTTATCATTATACTGTTTATTGGTCCAATTTTGTGTATTTTTTTTTCTGTTGTACTGTAATACAGATTAAAATTTGTAGTTCTTGATCTTTTTTCCTTTTTTTAATTAATTTCAATGAACATTTACAGAGATTTTGGATTTCCATTCATTCATTGTTGCACTTTTCTATCCGCCCACCCCATCCCCACCCCCAGTTCACTCTTCTCTTTGAAAAGTAAAAGAAAAATTCCTTCATTTGTATACAATTCCCCCGCAGCCCCCCATCCCCACCCCGAGTATACTCCACTCTGCAACCTTCATTCCGGACTCTTATGATAATCATAATGCCCTAAAATATATTGCTTTTAAACTGTTCTCTCCCTCATCCATTTCAATGCAGTATACATAATTGATGCAGTTTTTCTCATTCTTACCCTAACCCTGATGTCAGTCCCATTCCACAGCAGTGGCACTACATCCAAATATATTCCATCCTCAAAGCTTCAGTTACCCTTGGAAGGCATCAATTTACTATTTGGCTGGCCTTAAAAAGAAAACGTCTCAAAATGCACTGCACTGTTGTTAATTCAAACTCATAGTGGTGATCTTCTATCTGGTTTCCTAGGCCCTCCATCTAGATTTCAAATATAAATATCTTTAAGGGAAGAGATTGCCTATCATTCAGAGATGCCTATGCCATCTAGATTTCCTTGACTGACCTTGAAGCGGAGTTTGTCTTTCTAGATCCAGTATCCTAATTTGATTAGATGAAGTGAAGTATTTTAAATGCCCAGAATACAGCATGTCACGTGGTATGTTCTCAGCAATTTAAGAAGGCCTCACATAGATATTACATCTCTCAGAGTGGTTCCCTTATCTCTAGGGTTTTGTTGAATTCAGTCTTAGGTGTACTGTTATGCCCACTATTCAATCCCCAGAAACTTTAAAGTATTTACCCTTTCTGGAGTAAGCGGTTCCACTTTTTCAGTGTTTTAGATGACATGGATCTTTCCACCCACTCCATATTGTTCTTTATGGGAAGGACAAAGAGTGCCAGAGCTTTCTCACTGAAGTCCATTTGCACCACTGTGCAGTTAAGATCTGTATCCACTAGATGATAGTATTGGTCCATCTGGTGCATCATTGGCACTTGTACTGTGGTGGTCTTGTCCAAAAAGAAGCTGGAACCCTCTTCTGTTTTAGATGGATCAAAAGGATTTGCCCACTGGGCTTAAAATACAGAAATAAAAATTATGTTTATTTCAAACAAGTCTTACAGAAATAAAAATTATGTTTATTTCAAACAAGTCTTAGTGCCTACATTCGATTTCATCAGGTATTTCATTCCAGTAATTAAAGCAGAGATCAGTATCAACTATCAACTCGTTTTACAAGTGAGTAACTAAAGAACAGGGAGATAAAATGACCTAACTATGGTCACCCATTGAGCAGATGGCAGAGCTACGAATCACACTCAGGGCTGTTGGACTCCATGATCTTTATTCAAAATCTCTATACTTACACTAAACCAATCAGAGCCACAGTTTCCTCTTCTGTAAAAAGGTATAAGAACATCCAACACACAGGGTGAAATGAGACAAGAGATCTGTTCACTCCTCCACTAAACGTGGCTGAGATGTGCTGTAGACTCAGGAGAAATCATTTTGGGCACAGCACCTTCAGAAAAGAGTCAAATGATTCTTGTTGTTACAGGCACTGGCTTTGGAGTCAGACAGACCTGGGTGGTAATACTAGCTTCGAAATGTATTAAATATATGAACCTGAGATTTTATGAGAAGTAGATGATATAATGTGTATAAAGCACAAATAAAGCACAAAAAAAAGTATGCTTGGCATATGGGGAGAATATAATAGAAGTGTTCTTGTAACATGGCCAAGAATACACAAGTGAGAGTCATGCTGTTGTTAGGTGCCATTGAATCAGCTCTGACTCATTGTAATCCTATGTACAACAGAACAAAACCCTACCCAGTCCTGCACCATCTTCCAATATCTGCTTTAACTAATTAAGCTCATTGTTGCAGTTATTGTAGTAGTCCATTTCATTGAGGGTCTTCCCAAGTCTATCTACCTGCAAACTCATGTTTGTTTGTAAAATGTGATGTTCTAGCCAATTATGAGCTGGATATTTATGTCATTATCATCCACCTTTCTGAAAGTATCTAGCCATTTCATAGCTGTTTCCTGGGTTCATCCCCAGAACTGTGGGTCTATACTAGAAGAGCCAGCACTACATACAACTATATCTAGTATAACAAGTTACTTTGGTATTAGAGGCACCTGTTGGTGCTAATGGGGAAAATAAATGAGCTAACTCCTCTCAACTTCTTTCCCAAAAAAATGTCATTGAACTTGAAATAGACATCTTACCTGTAAAGCAAATATAATTCACCAGGACCATGATGGTGCGTGGTTTGAGATCTTGGATGAGGTTCACAACTTTCCCTTTGGTTTGTTTCTCCACATGACTATTGATCTCCTGCTTGGCTGCAGAAATATTGGAGAAGTCGGTAGATAAGACTTCAGTCTCATAAAGGTTGTTGACATCATCCAAGAATTTTGCGAGTGGTTTCAGCTGCTTCCCAATGAAGAGAACATTTCCCATGTGCAATTTCAGCTCCTTCTTTGGAAAATTCAATGAACAGATGATGTACTGGAAGCCCTGCTGGATCTCTGCCACTGGAGTAACAGTGAGGTTGAAACCCAAGCTTTCCAGGACCTGAGTTTGGGTGCTGGATGAGGCCCCAAAGGAGAGCATGACCAAAGCAGCAGAAATGCTCACAGGGGAAAAGAAGATGTTCTGATTTGGGATTTCCACAGTGAACCTCCGGTACAGGTTGAATGCAAAGTCAGCATTGTTGGATGACATCTTATAGAGAGTGACATTTGGTTGGGGGTAACGGCAGGTGGTTACTTTGCCTTCTGAGATGATAGGTGATGCACAATAGGTTGTCACATGAAGCCCAAGTAACAACAAAACCAGATAGAGGGACGATGGCATTTTGGAAGAAAAGTAATCTATATAAGAGATGAGGTGAGACAACCATTGGGGAAAGTTAACTGAATGGAACACTCTCTGACCCAGAGGCACTTAATAATTATTCTTTATAATTAATAAGATAATATCTCTCTCTCATTGTCATTGACTTGGAACTGACTCATAGCTGACCCTCTAGCACGTTTCCAAGGCTGTAAATTACATGTGAGAAGATCATTCATCTTATTCTCAGCTTGTGGATTTGAATCACCAGAAAGGCACTGACTTTGGGTTAGCAGAGCAACTCCTTACGGAGTATAGCACTAAAGCTCCCAACAATACAGTATCTAATGGTAATAAGAAGTAGGAAGAGTAGATTATTGAGCTCATAGAAATCATGTCATGAATTTTTGTTCAGATCTAACAGTGACATTATGAAAATACTATGAATAAATTAAATTTATGGAAATTTTATCATTTTTTTAAAAATTTTGACTGAAGATAGCCTTTGGAAAGAAGCACTCCCTCTGCATACATTAATTATTCCATGTAGATCAGAAATTATGGATTATGTTCAGTGGTTTTGAACAAATTGGCATTTTCTTGATATTTTAATTTAAAAGTATCTCAAGAAAATCCCTTTTCAGATTTTAATCAGTAAGGTATAAGAAAAAAATTCTATTTCCTTTAGCCTAAAAACAGGAAAATAATTTTTATAAAATATATGTAGCTGCAATGGAAGAATGATCGTTTATGCAGCCATGCACAAGGTTAAATCCATTCATTTGGACAATGCATGGAAGGATTTCCAAACAATAGGATGATGAAAATATAATTGTGTATATTTCAGATCTCTCTCATCATCAATATAATCTCAAAATTAATTTGTAACTCATAAGGCATCTTGACACTCATACATATTATTTTTAAATTATTAGAAATGGAACAATACCCATGTTGTATAAAATGGTCTCAGTTTGGAAAGGTAGAATCCAATGGAATCAAGAGGTTAGTTGTGAAACACCCAAGAACAGTAATCACAAATGATTAGAAGGAAAAGTTCCATGGAGGCAGGGCAATGCTCCTTTCTTAGCTCTCTATATTCTTCCTGGCTTATTCCATCCACTGTCATGAACTCAGATGCCACTTCAGTTCAAAGAATTTTTCTGATCTATATCACTCTTCCATATTTCTAACTACTTTTCTAGCTGCCTTCTAGATATACACACTCTAAGATGGTCCATTTGTGTTTCAATATCAAAGTTTCCAGGGAGCTGGAAATTCAGAGCTCTGACAGCTTAATGATAAGAAGCTGCGTTGCAATACTAGTGGCAAGGGGTTCAAATTCACCAGCTGCTCTGTGAAAGAAGGATGGGCAATCTTCTCCGATGCAATTAAATGCCTCTGAAAACCTGCTTAAGGGTCAGCTGTGAATACTTCCTCCTAAATACCTCTCAGAACTCTGGTAACATAACCTATAAACTATTGTGCCACATCTCCAATTGTTCAAATAGACCACAGGAGAAAGATGGGCAGTCACCTTTATTTATGATTTATAGACTCAGAAACCCTATGGAGAATCACTATGAGAGAGAACCAACTTGAAAGCAGTGTGTTTGAGGTTTTTAGTAAATCTCTCTCAAAACATCTCTCTCATCGACATCCCTAATTCTATAGCTTTAATTTATAGCCTAAACTCTAGCAGGTCACAATGCCTTCAGCCTCTCCAATTCCAACTCCTCTCCAAACTCCACGTTGTCACCTGAGTAATTTCCTGTAAAAAAAAATTACTGAAGCTACTAGGAGGCCAATTATTAGATGGCCACATGTAGACCTTGGCCCTCAAACCTAGAAATTTAGAATTCATAGGGATTTGGAACACTGACTGTGTTAGAGACATTCAAAGTTCCCAAGGAGAAAAAAAAATGTACTTACAGTACAAACCCAAGAAGAGAGTTGCATCTTTCAGAAGGTAAAAACTTTCCATCTATATAATGTAACCTGTATTGCAAAACTAGACCACTCAGTTATTTATTAACCCTGGAATGATATTTCCAAATCCAATCCCCAAAACCTAAGCCAAGAGAAACAAAGTGAAAAATGATAAGAACGAAACTTTGGATGATTGCTATGGCTTCCAGATCTTTCAAATGTAACAAGTGAGAAAAAGGATTGCCAGAGCTGGCAGGATTCAGGTTTGTAGCAGCAGAATTGTCTCTTAAGCAGGCAAAAATAAAGACCATGGGCAAATATGTCAGGAAGTAGCAGCAAAAAGACTGTTCTCAGCATCAGGACAAACTAATGCTGGGATTGGCAGAAATTTGAGGTAAAGGGATAAGCAGGGAGAGGCTTGATAAGCCTTTCATAGGGTTGATCTATAAATTATATATATTTACCTGTAGGAAATGATGTAAAATCTCAATTGTTGATCCTGCACACATATATGTCTGCTTAAAAGGACAAAGACACCTCCACTCTACATTCCCTAAAACCGTTTATACCATCCTCTGGGCCACATGATCCCAAAAGAAGATGCAGAAGAAGCCAATTCATCCAGTCTTAACTGTGTACCAACTATGCCAGAAGCTGCATGAGGAAAGAAACTTACATTCAAACATGGCTCTGACACCTTCTAGGTAGGTTGCTGTGGTTATTGCAATATGCCATTGAATAAGAACTGACTGATAGCTGACTCTGAAGTGGGTTTTCAGAGGTTGTGAATCACACAGTGGAAGATTGCCCAGCTTTCTCCTGCAGAGTAACTGGGAGATTAAAACCGCAGGCCTTTGAATTTGCAAAGGCTTACTTACCACTAAGCCGCTAGACTCTGTCTTTTTAGGTACAGTAGTAATAGTAACAACAACATCAATAGTAAAAGCTACTCCTGCTTATTAAGTGCTTACCACATGCAGGGCATAAGGCAAAACATCTGGTTTCAAACATTTCTTACTACATTAAGGATGCACATCTGTTGAGTGTGTGCTGAGAGGTGGGAGAAATAGTTATGTTTTTATCTAATCAGACTTACTGTTGTTGTCCTTGTTAGGTGCCGTCGAGTCGAGTATGACTCATAGTGACTCTATGAACAAAAGATCTGAACCCTGTTCTATCTTGTACCATCCTTACACTTCCTGACACACAAGCACCTGTTGCAGCAGTCACCATGTCAATCCACCTGGTTGAGGGTCTTCCTCTCCTTCGCCAACCCTGTACTCTTTCAAGGATCATGTTCTTCTCCAAGGAATAGCACCTCCTAGCAACATGTCCAAAGTATGTGAAGCAAAGCCTCATCATTGTTGCCTTCAAAGAGCACTCAGGCTGCACCCTCTCCAAGACATATCTGTTTTTTCTCTTAGTCGTCCATGGGATGTTCAGTGCTCTTCTCCAACACCACAGCTCAAAGGCACCTATTCTTTTTCTGTAATCCTTATTCATTGTTCAGTTCTTAGATGCATAGTAAGTGATTGAAAAGACTATGGCCTCAATCAGATGCACCTTAGTCCTCAAACTGACATCACTACTCCTCAATAATTTGGAAAGATCCCTAACTGCAGATTTTCCAGGTACAATGGAATTTACAAAGGTATTTCCTGACTACTCATACCAAGGGTGTTAATTGTGCATCCAAGCAAGATGAAGCTACTGACAGTTTCAATCTCCTCTCCATCCATCATGACATGCCTGTAAGTCCAGTGGTAAAACTCTTTGTTTTCTTGACATTGATAAGCAATTCATACTGAAGATTGCACTCCTTTATCCTCTGCAACAAGTGCTTCAAGTTCTACTCACTTTCAGCAAGCAAGGTTGTGTCATCTGTATAACACGGATTATTGATAAGTCTCCTGATGGCACATTTGTCTTCATAGAGTCCATATTCTTGCATAATTTTCTCAGCATATAGATTGAACAGGTATGGAGAGAGAATATAACCCTGGTGCACTCCCTTCCTAATTCCAAATAATGCACTGCTCCCCTGCTCCATTCAAAGACTGTTGAGCCTCCTGCTCCAGGTATAGGTTTCTCATGAGCACAATCAAGTGCTCTGGGATTCCCATTCTTCTCAATGTCAGCTATAATTTGTTATGATTCACACAGTCAAATGCCTTTGCATAGTCAATAAAGCACAAATAGAAATTCTTCTGATATTCCATACTTTAATCCAGGATCCATCTGACATCAGCAATGATATCCCTGGTGCCACGGCCTCTTCTAAATTCTGCTTGTACTTCTGGCAGTTCTCTATCTATGTGATGTTCTAGCCATTTTTTAATGATCATCAGTAGTATTTTGCTTGCGTGTGATATCAATGATATTGTTCCATAGTTTCCACATTCAGTTGGATCACCTGTCTTGGGACTAAAAACAAATATAGACCTCTTCCAATCCTTTGGCCAGACAGCTGTCCTCCAAATTTCCTGACACTGACTGGTGAGCACATCCAAGGCTGCTTCTGTTACTTAAAGCAAGTCTACTGATATTGCATTGATCCCTGAGGACTTATTTTTTGCCAATGCCTTCAATGCAGCTTCTACTTCCTCCTTCATTACCATTGGCTCCTGTTCATATGGTACTTCCTGAAATTTTTCAGTATCAATCGTTTCTGGTACAATGACTCGTGTATTCCCTCCATCTTTTATTGATGCTTTCTGAGTCATTCAATATATTGCCCATGATATCTTTCAACACTGCAACACGAGGCTTGAATTTGTTTTTCAGTTCTTTCAGCTTAAGTAATGCAGAGCAAGTACTTCTCTTTTTATTCTCCGATTCCAGCTCTCTGCACATTCCATTATGTTACTTTGCATTGTCCTCTGGAGCTGCTGTTTGAAATCTTTTGTTCAGCTCTTTCACCTCAACATTGTTTCCTTTTCTTTTGGCTTGTTGGCATTCCAATGCAATCTTTAGAGTTTCTTTTTTTTTTCTTTCTCCTTGCTTTTGTATTGACCTTTTGCTTTCTTCATGGATGATGCCCTTGGTATCATTCCACAACTCATCTGGTCTTTGATCATTGGTGTTCAATACCT